CAAGAGGCATCAAGCTTCGTAGGACCCAAGAACCCACAGGCATCACCCATAGGATTATAGGAAAAGGGTATATGTTCCATATCACTACTCAACAAGATCATGTTTCTACCCCTGAGCAAAAACAAAATGAATACAAGTAGCTATGAAAATGATAATTCAATCTTACATCCCACAATTTCTTGTCAGCCAAGCTGATGGACAGGCCCAGATATACTGAAAAAAATTCAGTTCTCTTAGTATTAAACACATTTCCTAAAAGGCCTATTTTAAGAGCAATTTCTTTATCAACAGGCAATGCCTAAAAGGATTCAAATACAAATTTTGGGGAGTCTCCATGACTATTTCTTAGTGGTTTATATAAAGCTAAAGGATAACTACAAAGGCATTCATTTGGTCATTTTAAAGGCTAAATCCTTGTAAGGAAGAGCAATGAGCAAGTTTTTACTCCTTTTACATGTGTATTCAGAATTATGGAATCATACATGGAAAGGCTTGTGCAGATAGCCTAATTCAATTTCATCTTTGCAGAGAGGAGAGGAGGGAGCTCTCAATAAGAAATTTACTTGTTTAAAAATTAATAGAGAAGTTTCTTGCCTTTTTACCCCGCAACATGGCTAATGTGGAAATGTTTTGCATGGTTTCATATATATATATATATACACACACACATGTATTTCTTGCCTTCTCAATGGGTGAGGGAGGGAGATAAAAGGAGGGAAGAATTTGGAACTGAAAATAAAAAATTTAAATAAGATAAAATAAATAATAAGGAAGGGAAGGGGAAAGGAATAAGCATTTCTATAGTGCCTCCTATGTGCCAGACACTGTGATAAGTGTTTTACAAATATTATTTCATTTGATCTCAATTAATTTACAAATAATTCACAATAATTTGATCTACAAGTAATAGATTTATTATAACTGTTACAACACTGAATTATTGAAATCTGTTCACAGAAAATTTTGATGATAATATGTCCCCATATTTATATTCAAACTTCTCACAAAATTGAAAATGAATCCCTGACTCTGTTTGTGATTCTGTTACCTATTTTTATTTTTTATTTTTGGCTAGGCAATTGGGTTAAGTGACTTGCCCAGGGTCACACAGTTAGTAAGTGTTATATGTCTGAGGGCAGATTTGAATTCAGGTCCTCCTAAATCCAGGGCTGGTGCTCCATCCACTGAGCCACCTAACTGCCCTCTGTTCCCTATTTTTATTTTTTTTTAATTAAAAATATTTTTTTCCTATTCTCTATTTTTTAAAAATGTCCTTAATGTCACTATTATTTTCCAGTAACTCCCCTCAATTTCACCTCTCCCAAGACAACCCTCCCTTGTAACACAAAATACAAACCTCAAAACAATTAAAGATGACAAATCAACCTATCAGCCATGAGTTAACGGTTTTTGTAACTTTCTGCTTCTATGCCAAGAACAGGGAACAATGTTTCATCATCTTCCTGTTGGTATCAAAGCTGAGCTGTAGCAAGAGTGATCAGGGGAGCCCATGATTTGCTGGATGACTAAGGGTACTCTCTACATTTTGGTTCTTGGTTGAGGTGACAAAGCAATTCTTGCTTAGTTTCCAGTGACTGGGTAGTTTTCATGAAGATAACTGGTGATTGAGCATCAGGATGGGGATAGATTCTTGGGGAAGAAGTTCTTTATTGAAAAAAAAAGCTGTGAAAACTCCACCCCCTCTTTGAGAACTCTTCTTTTTCTCCTGTGGACAGAATTCTAGGTGGGGCAGTGGTGGGGGGTGCAGCACAGAGGTTCTCTTTCCCCACTCTGGCAGCAATGATGGATTGGTGAGCAGGATCCTTGGCTATTAATCTCCTGTCATTTAGTTTCCTTCCCGGATAACAGGGTAGCAACTAGAGATCCTGCAAAATGGTCATTTTCAGTCTTGCTGGCTACCTCATGAGTACAAGAGATATCTAATCAGGTACAACCTACATTTGGGAGCTGATTTCTACAAACCAAGCTTCTTGGAGGAGAATACCCCTGCCTGCTAAGAGCATTCTGCAGCCCAGCTGGCCAGGAAGTACAGATCTTACAAGTTGCTTGGGAAGTGTAGATCCCAGGTGAATGTAAATTATTTGTTGAGCATTCCCACAGAGTTGTCTTTACCTTCCAAGGGGAGTATAATGAATGCAATGGGCAATCTGAGATGTTTTCTGTTTTCTGTACTTAATTCATGTCTTTTGCATCCTAAGTATTTCCTGTGGTGCAGGAATCAGGCGTTTCTTTGATCATCACTGTTACATATTCTATTAATCTGGATTCTGATGTCTCTTAGTGTTTTCTTTCACGTCATTGAACGGATTGTACAAATGGGTCTCTAGGTTCTGTTTTTTTTTTCCCCTGTGCTCTGCATTAGTTCACACATGACCTCCCAGGTCTCTTTTTATTTCTTATGTATGTTATTTCTCAGGGTGCAACTCTATTCCATTACCTTCATATACTATGTGAGTTCTAAGCTCGATTAAAATTGCACTAAGATTTTGGGGACAGCCTGCATGAAGGATGTTCCTTTGTCTCTAATGTCCTTGAGAGTGTATGCCTAGGAGCAGTATTATTGGGTCATAGTATGAACGACTGAATCACTTTTTTTTTTTTGGAATGATTCCAAATCATTTACCAGAATGCTCAGGCTTCTTCTTCTTTTTTAAAATTCTCTTCTTGCAATCATTTAGGTATCTTTTGATCTTATGATGAAGAGAAGAGGAGGAGGAAAGTTAAATCTACAGAACTACTAATAACAAAAAGAAGAGTTTTTTTTTTCCCACTTCTGTTTTTAAGATAACAAATGTTTTCCAGCAGAGGGAGTTTAAGTATGCCTTTCATGTATGTGGCATGCTAGCCAGAAATTTTTGGCATGAATATGACTCATTTGTCATGAAAAACCTTCTGAAAACACTAACAGCAGCACTTTGAAATTACAGATGTCTTTTGAAGTCCTGAGTGATTTTTATGCACCAGACACTGGATGGGAAGTTGATGAATTAAAAGTTCACTGGACTTGCAATTTTTAATTTCACAGAAAACCACAGGATAGGGCCCCTAGCAGCAAACTTTCTTGACCCTAACAGTGGAAATCTTATTCTTGTGTGTGGTTGTTTGCAAGCTGCTTTTTGGGTCTTTTACCTTGATAGATGCAGGGTCAGTTTTCTTAGTATGAAACTTGTTTTGCAAAGTTTCTCCTCTTCCTATTAAGGTTAAAAAAGCAATAGATGGTCCTAGAGCTGGAGAGCTGTGGCTGTGTCACTACAACCTTATCAACCTTCCCCTCCCCTCCCCCCCCCCATTTTACAGATGAAGAACCTGGAGCCTGAGGAAGGTTAAAAAAAACTTGTCAGAGGAGGTCACTTAGCTAATAACTAGCAGAGATAAAATTTAAACTCAAGCCTTCTGACTTCAAATCTAAACCTCTTTTTCTTATATTAAGTTGGGTACACTTAAGAAAAATCTTTTGCCATAATTAAAATTAATTAGGAAATGCAAATGTATTTTCAGTTCCATAAGTCTTACTTTTCATAATGAGTTTCAATCAACACTTTCATTATCTAAAGGTATTAATCAAGGTAAGAAGAAGGCGTTTGTTTAATAAATCAACAAGAAGAGAGGTGTAAGCTGAGTGTAATTTATGAATTTCCCAAGTACTCATCCTCTTTTTCAGACTTTGACTGTCATTCACAGGCATTGATAATTTTTGTCTTGGAGCCCAAGAAAAGGATTTTCTTATGAAACTGGAGTCAGAGTTTAAATTACTTTAATGCAGTGGGTCTCAAACTACTTCTCCTTTCTTCCCCTACCCCACCAATCCCTTCCTCTCTACAGACTTCTGTCCCGTCTCCTGATGTACAGTATTCCCTTTCCTTATGCCCCCCAAAGAAACAAAATTCTGTAGGTTGTCTTTTACCACAGTAGGTGATCTTGTACTACTACAACACAAAGTAGCTGGCTTTGGTTCTGTAGCTTCTCTATGACGGAGACCAGCACATGCCAATCATGTAGTTTCTAGTTGTTCCTAACCACCATCAAACAACTATTTTGGACTTGGTAGCTCCAATATCCAAGATTCCCTTTAAATACCCCTACTACTCCTACCCAGGCTCTTGAAGCCTGCTTGAGAAATATTGATTTAAGATAATGAATCACCATTTTGAGAACAGTAATCCAATCAACTGTTACTACTCACTGATTGGCCAATAACAGGTTCCAGGCCAAGCCCTACTTGGTCACTGTTTAGGCCCTGATTGGCTCAGAATGAATGTAAATACTAATTGTTTCTGTTTTGGCCAGAAACCATGAGGGTCTTCCCTTCCTAGGTCTTTTTTTTTTTCTAAAAGATGTGATTCTTTGCCTCATTTCTTATTAAGCCTTAATCACCAATAGACCATGCCTCTGTCAAACTGAGACCTCTTAAAGACCTTAGCTTGAAAAGGCCAAGGTTCTCCACTGCATCCTGGGCCACCTCTAGTAGTCCTGATCTATATCTGGCCACTGGACCCAGATGGCTCCAGAGGTGAAAGTGAGACTGGTGACTTTGCACAGAACCTCCCTCACTCAAATCCAATTCACTTGCAGGTCATAGCATTATCTCCCTGATGTCATGGTTCTCTTCAAAAATAAAGGAAAAACAACAATCCTGGAAACCACGTGTCAATCAATTGCCTATGACTCCAATCACCATCCCTGTGACTTCTAGCACCCAAAACACTCCTCTCTGGCCACCACTCCTCCTTTATTAGAATGTAGGATTTTTAAGGCAGGGGCCATGTTGCTTGCTTGCATTCTCAGGGCTGAGAGTATTTATTAAGTACTTAGCACTTAAGTACTTGTCAAGTACTTGGCACTTAAATACTTGTTAAGTACATAAAGTGCCTAAATACTTAAGTACTAAGTACCTAATAAGTAACTAGGTGCTTAATATCAAGTACTTAATAAATGCCTTTTCATTCATTCATTCATTCATTCATTCATTCAGTCAGTACCTGGGCTGTTGCTCCAGAGGCTTGAAAAAGGGTGCTGCATTCCCCTTCATGGTACTCTTCTTTACAATCACGGCAGAAGATAAACTGAAATATAACACATGCCTATATTAGAGAGATGCCTGGTGGTTGCCTTTGGTTGTAAGAGTTATCAACTTAATGTCCCCCTGCTATGCACCACTACTCTTCTAGATACTATTTTAGATACTAGATACTAGTATGACTCTCTGAGATACTATTTATTCCAGATCTATTCTTTTCCAGTAGAGTGGAAAGTACACTGTCTCTGGACAGTGACTTGGGTTCAAATCCCACCTTTGCCATTTACCTGCCTATGTGACCTCAAGCAAGTCTCTCAATCTCTCTTGGCCTTAGTTTCCTCACCTACAAAATGGGAGGGTTGGACTAGATGTCCTCTTAGTTCTTTACCAGCTCTGGATCTATGATTCTAGGATCCTAAGCAACATATAGCTATAGTTTGTTATTGTTCAGTCATTTTTCAGTTGTGTCCAACTCTTCATGACCCCATTTGGGGTTTCCTTGGCAAAGATACTGGATTGGTTTGCCATTTCCTTCTCTAGCTCATTTGACAGATGAGGAAACTGAGGCAAACAGGGGTAAGTGACTTGCCCAGGGTCACATAGCTTGTAAGTATCTGAGGCCAGATTTGAACTCAGGTGTTCCTGACTCCATACCTGGTGCTCTGTCTTCTACACGATCTAGCTGCCCAGCTATATTGCTATATTGCTCTACTATTAAAAAAGAGAAACTAATTATTCAATGTGTCCCATCTAACATTTATAGAAAGAGAGCATCACTACATTGGATCATAGGATTAGGAATGGGAAGGGAGATGATCTAGGTCAAATCCCACTTCTTCTGCCTCTTTTTTTTTTTTTTTAACAGATGATGAAACAGACCCAGAGAATTTTAGTTACTGGCCCAATATTACACAAGATGTAATCAGTAGACCCTTTACTAACTAGGTCCTCTAATTCAAAATCCGTGCTCTTGCCATTTGATTAACCTCTCTGACTTCCCTCTGAAAAGTGAGCATCCCTCTGAAGACATCTATAGACTGAAGTGAACTAATACAGTAAATTAATAAAGTAAAATAATAATGCATTTTCTAATGTGCTTTTACAAACAATACATAAGTTGATGCATACAATGATATTATCAATCGGTTTTGTTGCTACATTACAGGAGGGGAAACTGGGGCTAATGACAGGCTAGGTGGATAGAGCACCAGGCCTGGAGTCAGGAAGACTCATCCATCTTCCTGAGTTCAAATTCAATCTCATTCACTTACTAGCTGTGTGACCCTGGGCAAGTCACTTAACCCTGTTTGCCTCAGTTTCCTCATCTGTAAAATGAGCTGGAGAAGAAAATGGTAAACCACTTCAGTATCTTTGCCAATAAAACCCCAAATGGGGTCAGGAAGAGTCAGACACGACTGAAAACAATTAAACAACAAGGTTAGGCAAAGGAAGTGGTAGTATTGGGACTAGAATCCAGGTCTACTGAATCCTAATTTTTCCATTATACCTTGCTAAGGTCATGACATTTATTCAGGCATTTATGGATTCCAAAGGAATGAACAGAGATCTTTCTTCTTTTTTATTTTATTTTTTATCTTTTGGAGGCAATCTGGGTTAAGTTATTTGCCCAGGGTCACACAGCTAGTAAATGTCTGAGGCCAAATTTGAATTCTTTCTTCTTTTTAAAATGAGGCCTGTAATTTCATCATGGTAGGGATCTCCCAATCAGGAACTTCCTATACTAATGAAGATTGGTACTTACTACAACCTTGTTATAGAGAGTTCCCTGAAACACTGAGAGAAGTTAAGTGACTTGCCCAGGGTCACCTAGCTAAGAGACATCAGAGACAAAATTTGAACCCCGGTTTTCCTGATTCCAGGGCCAGCTTTCTAGTTCCATGCTACACTGTCTCTTGATAGGGCCAAGCATAAATAAATGGAAAACAAGCAAAGGTCATTTGTCCAAAGTTATAAAGCTAGTTAATGGCAGAGCTGGGACTATTATCATAAGGAATCCATCTGAAAAAGATACTCATATAAGGGAGACTTGGACTTCTAATGGAGGAATTAGAGAGTAGAGGTACTTTATCTGCTGTGTATTATAGGTATGGCTAGCAAAAGAACTGGAAATGTGATTTTTTAATAGTATTTTTTTTCTTTCCAAATACATGTAAAGACAATTTTTAACATTCATTTAAAAATATTGAGTTCCAAATTTTCTTCCTGTCTTCCCTCTCTCCTCCCCAAGATGGTAAGTAATTCAATATAGGTTACACACATACACACACACATATATGGATATGGAATCATATAAAACATTGCAAATGTGATTTAGCTACCTCCCCAACCATTCCCAGTTGGTGATAGCTGTCATCTGATCATCTGGAAGATTCCAAAAGGCTCGTGGATGTATTCAGTAACTCAGGGAGAGGGAAGGGACAGAGATGGGGACTTCTGGACTTTGCTCCTGTTACACTCAGTAAAGCATGTAACCTTTTAACTCTGTTGATTTGGCTAAGCTGTAATTGCTACTGAAATTATCCTTGGAAATAAATACACAATCCTAAGAACAAGTGAATATGAGGAATTCATAGGAACATGGGAAAACTTGTAATGAAATGATGCATGGTGATGACAATAAAGTAAATGAAAAGAACATTCAAATGAAGTCAACTTGGAGTAACCAATGACCACCTTGGGTTTATAAGACCAGGTAATGGAAACATCCTCCCTTCTCCTTAGAGAAGTGGGAGATGACAGCTCAGAAGGTTTGTCTATCTCTGCAAGATACGGTCAGTGTATTGTTTGTCTCAGCAAAAGTGATTTCATTAAGAGTTCAATACTGGGATATAGGGGTAAGGAGCTCTATCTAGAAATGACTGTGATGTTAAAGTAAGAGGCATCTTAAAAATGTCTTAGAAAGAACTTGAAAACAAAACAAAAAAAGAAATTAAATGTAAACATATCACTAGCTTGCTCACCTGTGGAAATAATTAACATACATACATTTGTGCTAGGATTTTTTTCCTCCTGCCACACAATAATAATAATATTATTATTATAATAGCTAGCATTTATATAGCACCTACTATGAGCCAGACACTGTGCTAAGTGCTTTACAAATATTATTTCAATTCAATAAAGTTTTAGTAAGTATCTACTCTGTGCCAGGAACTCTACCAAGTGCTGGGAATATAAAAAAAAAAGACAAAAAATAGTCCCTGCCCTCAAGGAGCTTACAATCTAATGAGGGTCCTCACAATGGGGGCACAGTGAGTAAGAGTGCTGGGTTTGGAGTCAGGAAGAGCTGAGTTCAAATCCAGTCTTGTATATTTAATAACGATAGCTAGCCTCTATGTAGTGCCTACTATGTGCCAGGCACTGGGCTAAGCACTTTACAAATCCTTACAACAATCCTGGGAGGCAGGTACTATCCCCATTTTACAGATGAGGAAACTGAGTCAAACAGAGGTTAAATGATTTGCTCAGGATTTCCTCACTTCCCCAAATCACAGATTCTTGGTGATCTCAGATTTCATCTAGTTCAGTTGGTACCTGAATAAAAATCCTTCCTATATAGCACACCTGAGATGTAGTCATATAACTTTTGCTTAGAGACTCCCTGGGGAACTCATTATTCTACTCATGGAGAGTTTTAATTGTTGGTAAGTTTTTCCTTAAATCAAGCCCAAATTTGCCTCTTTGCAAGTCCAAGCATCCTTCCTTATTTTCACCTCTAGAGCTAAGCAGAATAAATGTAATTCTTCCATGTGAGAGACCTTCAAATACTCAAATATTCAAATAGCTAGAATGTGCCTTGCAAAACTTTTCTGGTTCACCCATCCCCAGCGTCTTCAACTGACTAGTACCTAGGAATGATCTCAAGGCCCAGACACTATCCAGTTTATGGGTGTCCTTCCTATAAAGCAGTGGTTAGAACCACACAAGTTGCTCCAGATGTGGTCATACTTAGTTTCTCAATTCTTAAAAATCAAATTGGAAAATCCATCCATTCTCTCTGTGTACTAAGCACCAAGCAGAGAGATAAGGTGTCATTCTGGAGGTAAATACCACAACCTCTTTAGAAGCCATAGAAAATCAATGGAGAGCAGACTCCAAGAGAGACTGGGGTTCTGCCACTGTGTGGCCTCGGGCAATTCATTGATTGATAGAGAGTTTAACCTCTCTGGGTTTCAGTTTCTTCATTTAAAAAAGAAAAGGGTTGGACTAAATGAGTCATGTCTGGAATGTATTGTCTTCTGCCCTCTGTCTCTTACAATTCCCCGGCTTCACTGAAGGCTGAGCTCATGTGCAACTGTCTATGGTCAACTGTTCCTGGACTGTTCAGTTGTGGACGCTGTCTCTCTCCTCAGATCAGCACATATTTGTGTACATGTTATACAGCCCTCATGAAGAAGAGAAGCTCTCTGAAGACAGGGCTAGGGACACAAAACAAAATAAAAAGGCAGAGCTTACATGTAGTGACCATTTAATTAATGATTATTGGATGGATTTGGATCAAATAATCAACAAGCATTTATTGATAATAATAATAATTACTTACTAGGTATGGGACACTGTACTTTAGCACATGGGAAATACAAAGGCAAAAATCCAACTGTCCTTGGCCTCAAGGAACTGACACTCTAATAGGGAGAAAATGTTGCCATGTGTAAGTATTTAAATAATACGCACAAAATGATCACAAGGTAATTTGGGGATGGAGTGTGACAGCAGTGCAGGGGAGGGGTGTGGATCAGGGAAGGTTTCATATTGAAGGTGGTGGCTTCTAGCTCTAATATTCTAGTCTAGGATCATTTTATGAACAGAAAGTATTTATAGATGGGTATCCTCAGCTGTAAAATGAGGATAACAGCCCCTACCTCAGAGAGTTACTGCGGGGACCAGTTGGATTGGCCAATCAACAATCATTTATTAAGCAATCATAGGTGGCACAGAGAGTAAGAGTGCTGGGCTTGGAGTCAGGAAGAGTTGAGTTCAAATCTGGCCTTGCATATTTAATAATGATAGCTAGCCTTTATGTAG